TCTAAGTGTTTTCCTAATCGGTTTTCGTTACCTACATCTTATGTCTGAGCTCATAGCAATAGGATGTACGGTTGGAATCTTCTTTTATTTTAGCTTTAAGGGCGTATAGTGACTTCCAGTGTTTGGTATTGAATTGTGATTAACATGTTAAATCACGACTCTTTGCTCCGTTCATACAGATGTTGTGTTAATATGCAGATAAAATTATATCAACGATAAGATGACCTGCGATTAAAAGTAATACCGTAAAATCCCACGTTAAATCCCCCCCGGTTATAAGCCCCCCCCGAATATGAGCCCTTCTCTTTGGTAACAAAGATATTATTCCGGATATAGACCCCCCCCGGATATAAGCCCATCTAATGTATAACTGCGTTCCTTTTGCGTTATAGGCTAAGAGGGTAATACGGTGATAGCTCTAAATGTAATGGTTTGTTAGCTTTGATTCGTTTCTCAGATATGTTTTATCTCGTCGTTCCGTAACATTTTTTTTTAATATGTTTATACGCACCCCCCGGACATATGCCTCCCGTTTATAAGCCCACCCAAAACCGCTTTTGAAGTTATATAAGCCCAGGGCTTTGATGTGGGATTTTACGGTAGTAATTTTGTCATGACAATTAGCTAATTGGTATATTTTCACTGATAGTGGACGGGTGTAAAAATTACAAAATTCTAAATGGAGTAGATCGCGCTCAAGGATACACATTACAGGCGCAACAGATATGTGATAGTGACCTGCAACTAGGTTGGTACCGCTTCCAAGGACTTGCGGGGGATCAAATGGCGGACACGNCCTAAATGGAGTAGATCGCGCTCAAGGATACACATTACAGGCCCAACAGAGATGTGATAGTGACCTGCAACTAGGTTGGTACCGCTTCCACGGACTTGCGGGGGATCAAATGGCGGACACATGCGTTTCCATGCTTCGCTGTGGCACTGTCGCTTCAGGTTGGCTTTCTGGTGTACACCCTACAGTCGCCGATGGTGTGGTGGTTCGTCAAGTCTGTTATAACTGGTTATCGTGCTGTGGTCATAGTGATGACATTAAAGTCCGGAACTGTGGCGCTTTCTTCGTGTATGAATTAAAGCCGCCGCCTTCATGCAATCTGCGGTATTGTGGCAACGGAAGTGCAGGTAAGTTGCTGTGTTGACTTCTTTTAAGTGTCTATGACATGTTTTTTGGTTTGCTTTATGGAATCTACTCACGACCGTGATATAGAAGCTGAAAAAAAAAAAAAAAACGATGTATGTCGTTGGTTTTTCGCCACGTTTTACCCATCCGAAAACGTAAAATGTCACTTCCGGTTGGCTCAGGAAACGCCGGATTAGGATCTGGGACTAGTCAGGCTGTGACGTCAAAACAAGAATGTACGTGGACACATTTTTCGAACCAAATAAACAGAAACGAAAAAAAAAAAGTAAAATATACTTGGAAAATCAAGTATAATTCCAATTATTTTTCACGTTTGGTTAGGGAAAGAGACGACGGCAACGACAACGAGAATGTCACCAAACAAAAATTTCAATGAGTAGAACAATGGCTGTGCCGTGCGTTATAATTCTTGGTACATTTCTTTGCCGTCCTCTGCAAATCAACGACGTGAAATGACCAATTTCCAAGTTTTTTGACAACGGGACCCACTACTGCTAATTTCTAGTGTTTCTATTTGGAACTGAACGCATTTGTAGTATATTCAGCAGAGGCAAGTTTTAATACCAACAAACACACCGAATAGATCTAAATGAATGCGAAATTGCAAAGTAAAAGATAAACACCCTTTTTAATAGGCGTCATCTTCACTGTCGCCGTCGTACATGCGTAAGGTCCCTATTGAGTCGAGGACGGGGATTGAGATCAGTATTTAAGGCGAGTACAATCTAACCTTTGAGCTAGGACAATAATCACCCTGTTGTACATATATACTGACTTTCACAGAGAGTTTAAGAACCGAACAGTGACATGAGACATATATTCGTAGACACAGGGGAGGCAGGTAGGGCTAGATGTGGTACCACTGGCAGAAACGTTTCGTTAGACAATTTCACTTTTTTACGCCGCGCTTTCGCTTCAATCTTTGGCATAGTTTATAACATGTAATTTTGATCTTCCTCTCAACCTTGGACGTTTGTTTCAAATTTCCAAAACACTAGCAGATCGATTTAAAGGATATCGCGCAAGGAATAGTCACTAGTTTATATATTTCTGTTGTAAAATTCTGTCTCGTTTGCAATTCTCGAGTGTTCTTTAACTCATACAGTAAATACCATGTC